ACAGGGCACACATATTCCTCTGAAGAACACAGCTAAGCTTGGGGGTCCTGTTTAGAGGTGCTTGTTTACTTCACACACACACACACACACACAAACACACCCAGAGCTCAGGAGGGTACTGCCAATCACAGCACTGACAATTATGAGTGAGAGGCAGAGGAGACCCCCTAAAGGAGAAATGAGAGCCAGTGTAGCCACCTGGGGGAGAGAGGGGGAATGGGAGGGGCAGAGAGAAATAGTGATAAAGTGAGAGAGAGACATAAAGAGAGAGAGAGAGAGAGAGAGAGAGAGAGAGACAGGGACAGAGAGACAGATAGCGGGACAGAAAGAGACGAAGACAGAGGGAGGAAGGAAAAAAAACTGACAGAGAGGGGGAGAGAGACAGATAGAGAGGGAAAGAAAGAGGGAGGGAGGGAGAGAGAGAACTAGAGCGGCAGAGAGAAAGGGTAGAGAGAGAGAGAAAGAGGGAGAGAGACATAAAGAGAGAGAGGGACAGGGAAGGAGAGATAGATAGCGAGACAGAAAGAGACCGACAGAGCGAGAGAGAGGGTGGGAGGGAGGGATGGAAAGAAACTGACAGAGAGGGGGGGAAAGAGACAGATAGAGAGGGAGGAAGAGAGAGAGGTAGAGAGGCAGAGAGAAAGAGTGACTGAGTAAAAGAGAGAGACATAAAGAGCGAAAGACATAAAGAGAGAGCAAGAGACAGGGACAGAGAGAAAGAGGGAGGGAGAGAGAGGTGGAGGGGCAGAGAGAAAGAGTGAGAGAGAGACATAAAGAGAGAGAGAGAGAGAGAGACAGAGAGGGATGGAGAGAGAAATACGGGGGCAGAGAGAAAGTGACAGAGTGAGAGATAGACAGCTGCAGAGAGACAATTGAGTAAAAACGAACATCACCTTCATTTGTGGGTGTGTGTGTCTGTTTCCTCTCTTGGGAAATGTGTGAACCTCAGGGGTTTCGTTTTGACGTCTCTCTTAAAGCTAAGACATTACGTCTTAGTCAACAGCATCTGCTGGTGTTTATGTGCGTGCACCAAATGTATAAATGAGCATCGACAGGGCCGATTCTAAACTAAATGAATATCAAACTATACCACATCATGTTTATTTTTCTAAGTAGAAGAGCTGTTTTACTATGATTTGAATTTGATGAACAGTTATTGTTGTGCATGCAGTCTTGGATTTAACTCAACTAAACTAGCTAAAACTCAAACCGTGGATGTATGTTATCAAACGCATCACATATGCGCTTAAAAATAACACTGCTAAAACTAGTTCTTCGTGCAATGACATAGAGCCATGTTTGGTTCCCTAAAGAACCTTTCAAAGGAAGAACTCTTAAATTGGTAGAGAAACTTTACATTATGTGAAAGTTCCTTAAACCAAACTTTTTCAAACATGGTTCTTTAGGGAACCAGAAGTGGTTCTTCTATGGTATCACTCACAGAACCCTCTATGATACCTATATTAAGAGTGTATGTCATGGAATTAGTTTAAAATACATAATGACTCCTTTCAAGTCAAGGCCTTTCAAGAGACCCTCAATTCAACACATACGTGTCAAAACACAAGAAAAACCCACCTCTACAATAATGTTAACTTCTGCTAGCAGCCCTGTGGGATTCTAAAAGCTTGTTAGCTTTAAGCTACCAGTGATCCAATCTAGACTGAACACAGGCACTTGAAGCTTCTAGAAGGATTTCATGTTTTACTTGAAGTGTGTGACATATTAGTGTATATTTTACCTTGTAGCAGTTTTACTGTGGCTCTTATAGTAGAGTGCTCTGGTACAGAGCTGCCGCTGCTGTTTTTCCTTTCTAGCAACCCACTGATTAGCGTGCCGCTCATATGTTTATTGGACTTATAGAAGACCCAGAGTGATGTTTTCTCTCACAAAATTGGTTTCACACATTCTAAGTTAAGACGTGGTTAGCTGAATCTTGTCACCTCATAATTATGCTGATAGTTAAAGAGGACCTGTTATGTTTTTCCAGTTTTTTCCCTTTGCTTTAGTGTGTTATATAGCCTATAGTCTGCAAAGTTTCAAAGCTCAAAGTACATGCCAGAGGGAATAACACTCTCCCACAGAAACCACTTTTCTCAGCTGCCTGAAATGCCTCATTGGAATTGTTTCAAGATGATGCAATCACATAACACACCCCTTACTGCCCGCCTACCGACAAGCTTGGCACGTCCTCACATAACTAACAACCACTGGAGATCGAGAAGAGTTTGTTGAGTTTAACACGTAGCCATGTTAGGAAGACGCTGTGTTCTGCGCTGTGTAGGGGCGGAACTTTCAACTGCGACCACTTTCAACTGCTCTTGCAGTTGACCAATCAGAACAGAGTGTATATAATTGCCGTTTGCTGAAGTTACTTCACAGTGAGCCTGATGACCATGACTGCCGTGTTAATCCGGCAAAGAATAACGGTTTGTGAATAGACTGTGTCAGATACTGGATGTCAGTTCGCCTGGATGGAAATATGCAAGCAGGAGCGAGACAAATCGTTTCGGTTGTGGGCGGGAGTGGGACAAATGATTCCGATTTTCTGCGGGAGTGGGCGGGAGCGAGATGAAATCATGCGGGAACGGGACTGTTTTTTCAGTCATGTGCAGACCTCTACTCTGAAGCATGAAAATCTATTCTAGCAGCCCCCAAACATAAAATTATGAACATTAATGAGAATAATACGTTCTCTTTACTCTAACACATTAGGACTCTCTCTTCAGCTCAAACTCCTAACCAGTAGGAGAGCACAGTTGGTTATATCTACCTAGATACCACAAAAAACTGGCCAATTTTCTGCTGGACATTTTAATCCATCCAAAACAAGTGTGCTGTAATACTTGCTGAACGGAAATGCAAGCATGATTCTACTGAACTAAAAATTATAGCTTTTTCAGTTCCCAGAAATTATTCCGCATTGAAAGGCCCTGAGGGCTCTGCTCTGGAAATTACACAGGAATAGTATAACAAAATGTTAGTGATAACTCTCATCTTTTAAGGCTTTAACACACACACACACACACACACACTCTTTCATACTTATCAAATTCCAATTCACCTGTTCCCTCCCTCTTAGCAACAGATGCCATGCACTGCCAGCACTTTCCTCCCCCTCAGTGTTCTTTCCTGTTCCTTAATTGATTGAGTCATAGCTGACACCTTGCTGACTGTCTAGGCTGGTCTGTCTGCAGCCAGGGGAGAGCAATATGATGATGTATTATCATTATTTTGATAAATTACGTCACAGTATACTTTTCAGAGTGTGTCACAGGATATGATCAGTAGATCTAGAACACTGTTCAAGTGCATGGGTCATAAAAGAGACGAAGTATTCACCAATTTAGACCAATTCTAGAGGGTCAGTATACAGTGTATAGCATAGTAACAGTGTATAGTAACTGCACAAGCTGCATAGTATCAAGATGTCAATTGGATGTCAGCCCATTATTCCAATATCTTACTTTTTCTTACGTAGATTTTCATTGTTTCCTCTCACGTAGTTTATTTCTGCATGATGAAACAAAATCATTGTACTCATCTCGAAATGTGTGACTGTTTTGCTGGTGTGTTTGCAACCTTTTCACAAAACTAAATATTATATATAAAAATAATCATGCGGTTATATTTTTGCCACATCGCCCCGTTTTAACTGCAGCTGAAAATAATGATTAAATAAAGCAAAAATAATGCCACAAAGCAAACAGGGAGCTCCTTCAATAGCAGATCTGCGAGCCCTGGTCTCTAAAGGAACTGCAGTCATCTCTGCTGGATTTGATCAGAGGAGTTTTTCTGACAGACGCTGCCTTCAGGGACCTCACACCATTCGACTCCAAAGCACACAAAAACGAAGCACGAATGATGAAAGAGGAACACGAGCACGTCCTGATATGGGATGATGTCTCGGTGAGGAACACTCCAAGATCCACTTAAACTTCCCCCAAACTGGCCTGTGTGTCAGACCCAGCTTGCAGAATAGTGTGATTATGAAGTGAATAATAATAGAAAAAGTTTGATATATAGCTGCCTTTGTAGCCCCACAGACCAAGTTCAAGAGTTTTCAGAAAATATTGAGTAAACAAGGACACAAAGTCTTGCAGAGCAGCCCTGGTGCTGGTGCTGTGGTCATCTCCACAATCCAGCTGAAGTACCGTTATTCTGATTGAGTAAACATTTTCACTATCAACATCAACAGAAAACAGTTGTTTACACTGCAAAGGCAGCAGCACTGAATGGACCATGTGTTCATATTCTTACATACGGTGTTCGTGTTTAGTATAGTTGTGAGACTTTTACTTCATATACGCATAATTGTGACATAATTTGTAAATGTACTCCTGATAGTGTGGGTTCATGCCCAGCGGGGCAGAGTTTGGCTGCCTAAGCTTGTCTGGTGCCAAAAAACATGTTTTTAATGACTAATTAATTTGTTCCCAAACAACTTGGTCTAGCATACAAATTCTATTTCTATATCAGCTGGTTTTGAGGCACATGAAGCATCAAAAAAAGCACTGAGGCATCACTACCTCTTGGTTTTTACATCATTGCTCATGCACACATGCAGATGTCATGAAGCAGGTGTTATTAGCCAGTTAACTTTGTTAAGAAGTCAATTATCTGTGTTTTGGGAATGGTTGGTCACAAGAAATGTTTGACTCATATCATTGCCTCAAACTTTCATGACAGCAGAAACTCCCCATGAAAAGACATGTAATATGAACCACTAAGAAAGCCCCACTGAAATGAATAAGTGCAAATGCAAATGACTCCTATAGCTCCTATAGTACCTTCACGTGCATATCAGTTTCCTCCCTTACAATAATGCACATAAAATGTACTTTGAGTGCTAACAGGTCCCTCTTATGGAGAATCTTCAGCCTGCTGAACATGAGTGTGAGCTGCAAGCCAGGCCTTTGAAAAAACTTCCAGTCTGAGTGTTTTTGTTGTTCAAACATGATGATATCTGACCAAGCTAAGGAACTACAAGTCCCACTCACCTCAGACTGAGAGAGAGCTGCTGGTCCTTGGACTTGAGGAGATCAGCTACAGAGAAGCTAGCGCTGCCCAGGAAACTGCTCTGTGGAAGACAAGAGAAAAAAACAAACTGTTACTGTAAATTGTTTAAATATCATTAGTCCGTATAAATAACTACATAATTTAGCATGTAATGGATTGAGTTTATACTTTGTTTACATTCTGTATCAACAGGTTTGAGTCTGCAGTTTTTGTTATGATGTCAAGAAATGAAAAGCATGGCAAAAAAATGTAAAGCATAGTTCATAAAATATAATAAGATCAGAAAGGTTGACTCGTCAGACCACAATACACGTTTCCACCGTGCCTCAGTCCATTTCATATTGGCATGAGCCCAGAGAAGTCGGCAGTGTTTCCGAACGTTGTTGACACATCACTTCCAATGTACATAGTTTATTCACAACGGTTTGTCAAAGTCTTCCCAAGTCCGTGTCGTGATTTACATCACAGAAACATGCTGATTTGTAACACAGTGCCTTCTGAAGGGTTGAAAGTCATGGGCAATCATTTGTGGTTTTTGGCCTTTTCTTTTACACACAGAGAGCTATTCTGATTCCCTGAATCTTTTGATGATATGTAGCATTGTAAAGGATGAAATAATACCTAAAATGTGGGGAACATTATTTTTAAACTAATAGATTTTTTTCCTGATGCACTTTTGGCAGTGGCAGCCTCGACCCATCCTCGCTCACAAAGGACAAGGCAACCTCTGTTAAAGATATTTTCACATTTCACAATGTTCCCAGTCCTAAATTACCCCGTCCCAACTTTTTTGGAACGTGTTACAGGCATCAATTTCAGAATGAACATATATTTACAAAAAACAAGGTAAAGTTGATAACATAAAACATTAAATATCTTGTCTTTGTACTGTCTAAGTTGTTTTAATTTGCATTTTACTTACTGTCCCGATTTTTTGGCATCAGGTCTATACAGGACAGATATCAAATTGCACCATGCTTTTGTAATCACTGGCAAAACCTTACTTCTTAGGGTAAAAGTAGACCACAGCGCACAGAGAGCATCATATTATAAAGAGCAACCAGCACCATGAAGTGACATCCATTCTCACTGCACTTAGCATGTGACTCAAGAGTGTTAGACATTAGCAAGTCTTCAGCATGTTACATATTTCAGCACTGTTTATAAAAGCATCATGTTCGCCTCGTAGCAGCGTGTAATCTGAGGAGCTCCGAGCATGTAAGATTAAACATGGGACGAGGTTTCTGCTTCCACAGAGTGTCAATGTTGTTAATAATAGAGGCTAACCTCTCCCATCACTCCTCAACATAAGGCCTTTGAGCCCAGGGTGCCTGTAAGGCGTTCTACAGTACATGTGTGCCATTCTGATGAATGCGTGATGAGGGCTGGTTAACACCTTTAAAAAAACTCTTCACACGACAGCCAGTCAGGCTACAGTAGCACATGTAAATTCAGCTATTAGCAGTAGCCTTACATGAACTTTGCTGCTTAAGAGACATTTACATGAAACTAAAATGGAAAAAGTGTTTTCAATTTTAATTCTTATTGTATATATTTCTTTTTACACTGTACCCTTATTCATTAATAGATTATACACTGTTTATTTATTATTAACATAATGTAAAGCTGCCTTAGGATAATTTTCAAGTATAAAGATGCTGGACACTCTTTTTATGATGAGGGGATTGGAATAGGTCTGTTCTAATTTTTTGGCACAGAAACTTCACCTCAAATGTTTGAGGTGTCAAGTTGGATTGATGTAAAAGTCACATGAATTTAAATGTGACTCTAACGAGAGATTTTTCCTTTTAAAAAGTATTGTGTTCTATTGTAACTATATGAGCGGACAAAATGAGCTTCATCAGAACTTATTTTCCCTTCAATAAATTATCATTATTTTCAACCTGAACAGTAACTTGACCAACGTGACTGTAGACTCTCGCTCTCGTTCATACAATTTGTGGATGCTTGTAACAGTGGAGGCTCTCGAGGGGAACTGCAGCGTTCCACTTTGATGTTGCTTTTGTTAGTTAAATCATTCTTTGAAAACGTCCATTTTTGTGTCCTTAGCATTTACAGATATATTTGAAAAACATGTTCGGGTTTCAACATTTTAAGTTATTTTGACAATTATCCATCAATTCAGCAATACTGGTTTTTAAATCAGTTATATTAAAAAAAATGTTTTTTGGCAATTTTAACTGCAATAATCCATACATGACTATGAAATATATGATTTAAGTGACAAAGAAAACAAATATTATATTATATTATAAAATATATATTCTAAAATATATAATGAAAATTGTTGTCCTCAGGAGTCATGTCACTGGTTTTACTGCGTAAAAAAAAAATCTTATTTTAAAATAAAAATAACACTGATGACATCAGTTGAACTATTTTCTGAAGATCTATGAAGAAAAGCACATATTAAGTCCACTGTGTCTTTTCAGCTATCAGAAATGTTCCCATTTAGCTCATGATTTCATATGAAGTTTTAAGTTGAAGTCACAGGTGTGACCTACTTCATTCTTAGATAATTGTGGAAAAGATAGAAAACAAACAGATTAAATTACATATTTTAGTGGATATTCCTGACTGACAACATGTGGTTTGATATTTTGTAGCAGCCACTTTGTACAATGCATTTTTCATTAAAAAAGTCACTGGTGTTACCTTTATTATGTGTAACACCAATGAGAATTGGTAACAACAGTGACTCCGATGGATAGATAAACAAGGGACGTTTCTGTAGAATGACCCAGTTTGTCGATTTATCCATGAGCACCGTCCAGTGTAGTCAGCAGAAGGCGCTGGAGGTATCACTTTAAAAGCCACTTAAAAGACGTTTTTGAATGAGAACCTTGCGGTCACAGATTCTATCATAGCAAAACAGCAGCTAGGCTAGGCCTGCAGCACTACTAACAGTTCAAAGGGTCAAACTAGGAAAATGTGTTAACATTAAAGCATGTTAACTTTGACACTACGAGTGCTGATAGATTACTAGAGTGTGTCTATAAAATACAGTAATACAGTGTTAGTGTGACTGTTGGAACATTAACCAGATGCAGGAAGATCAAGCTGGGACACGCAAAGCTGACCAGCCTCATTCTGACCTGAGACAGCACAACAGTAATCAGGCAATGAAGTGTGAGGTCATCATAGTCCACCTGGGTGACAAAATTTGGCAGGACAATCATCCAGGACGAACGTGGATTACTATTTCAGTCTCTCTCTCTCTCTCTCTCTCTCTCTCTCTTCTCTCTCTCTCTCTCTCTCTCTCTCTCTCACCTGTCAATGCTACAAAATCTCCTTTACAAAGGCAGTGTACTTACGCAAAACCCACTGAGTAATCACTACACACACACACCAGCTGCCAGGTGTCGCGAGTGTGTGTGTGTGTGTGTGTGTGTGTGTGTTTAGGCGTGTCAGAGCGCACAAAGTAGGTCATGGTGAGAGAAGATCAACCCAGGAACATCAATAACAAACACACACACACACACACACACACTTTTGTATGTGCGGACACACACACACACACACACACACACACACACACACACACACACACACACACACAGAATGACAGAAATAGCACAGGGAGAGCAGAACAGAAAAAGAGAAGGAGATGGAGAGAGATAAAGAGTGAAAAGAAAGAAGAGGTGAGCAAGCAAGACAAGGAAAGAAGGGTGGTAGAGAAGAGCAAGAGAGAGAGAGAGAGAGAGAGAGAGAGAAAGAGAGAGAGAGAGAAAGAGAGAGGGAGATGAGGAGAGAGAATTTGTGTGTAAGAGTGAGAGAGAGCGGAAAGGGATAGAAATAAAGTCAAAATAGATTGAGATAGAAAGAAAAGACAAAGAGAGAGAAACGAGAGAGAAAGAGAGACATTAAGAAAGAAAACAGGAGGAGGGAGGGAAGATAGAAGAGAAAGAGATAAAGCAAAAATGTGGATAGAGACAGAGAGAGAGAGAGAGAGAGAGAGAGAGATAGAGAGAGAAAGAAGGAGAGAGGGAAGATAGAAATAAGAGAAAGAGAGATAAAGAATTAATGTGGATACAGAGAGAGAGAGAGAAGGAGGGAGGGAAGGTGGAAAGAGAAAAGACAGATATAAAGAAAAAATGTGGATAGAGAGAAAGAGAAATAGAGTGGAGAGAGATAGAGACAGAAAGAAAGAGAGGAGGAGGGAGGAAGTTGGGAGATAGAAGAGAGAGAGATACAGAATAAATGTGGATAGAGAGGGAGAGATAGGGAGAGAAAGAGAGAGAAAAAGAGAGATAGAGACAGAAAAAGAGAGAGAGGAGGAGGGAGGAAGAGGGGAGATAGAAAGAGAAAAGAATAAATGTGGATAGAGAGAGAAAGAGAGAAAGAGTGGAGAGAGACATACACAGAAAGAGAGAGAGGAGGAGGGAGGAAGAGGGGAGATAGAAAGAGAAGAGAGAGATAAAGAATAAATGTGGATAGAGAGAGAGAGAGAGAAAGAGAGTGGAGAGAGATAGAGACAGAAAAAGAGAAAGAGGAGGAGAGAGGGAAGAGGGAAGATAGAAAAAGAAGAGAGAGAGAGATAAAGAATAAATGTGGAGAGAGAGAGAGAGAGAGAGCAAAAGAGCAAACACACACACTCAACAGGGTTTGGCTTTGTTCAGCTGTGTGAAGGGAAGGACACAAGGACACACTCCAGTAAGCCTGAGAAGCTAATTATCTTATATTCACACACACACACACACACACACACACACACACACACACACACACACTAAATAAATAGAGGAACCCCCCTGATATTTCCTCCCAAATTAATTAAAACTCTATTCTTTATTTAACAACTCTATTTAAAAACTCTGTGCCATCCAGACATTAACACTTTATTTGGATGATGTGGATGATGCACTGCAGACGCTTTACAGGACTCAGCTGCACCAGTTGTGTGTAGGTTTGTGTGTCAAGTCTTTACTAAACCTTTACTTAACAGCTAGCTTTAATCTACCTTATTCATCTGTGGCTCCACAAATCTTTCAGTTACGTCAGGTGGTTAAGGTTAAATCAAAGCATGCAACCTGACTCACT